TATAATACTTCAAAATTTTATTATAATAGATAAATAATTTTATTTATAATATTATAAAATTTTTTATTGATTAATTATAAAATAAAAAAGTGTTATTAGTGCATATATTAATTTTAGATGAAAATTTCAAAATACCATATATTTCTATATAAAAATGATCTATGTTACCTTTACTTTTAATTTGTATCTATATTATCATTTTGGTTTTTTTGTTACATGTCTATATTTATTGTTTAAATTGTGTCATATTGTAGTTTTCTTTCTAAGATATTTGTTTTATTATAATTGCCTATTACTGTTGTATTTGTATTGGTATTACTATTTATAGTAAGAGTTGTTATATTGGAATTTACACATAATATTATATTGTTGTTTGCAAAATATACCTGATTGTCCATTTTTTCATGTTTTAATGTTATGTCAAAGTCTTGAGAGGGTTATAATGATGTTTCTTTTATTGAGTATTTGCTACTTGTTCAAGACCTGTTTTATATTTTATTTGTTTATAATATAAATATTTGAATTAAAATTAGAAACATATATTGAAATATAATTATTTATCTGTTGTTTATTTGGTTGCTATAACAAAACCAGATCCTTAAAGGACTGGTTTATTGTTTTTTTGTTTTTCTGTAATAAATGATTGTTTTTGGTATATTAGATGTTTCTGTGTTTATTGACTTTTTGTATTTGTTGACTACTTTAAATTCTTTTTTCAAGATAATTATTTCCTTTACTTTTCACTTTTTTACGATTTTTACAATTTTTGATAATCAACAGGAAAAGTTTATTCTTTATACTTTTTATTATTTTTCTAATTGATATTAAAATACAAAGTTCATTTTTCCAAAACACTAACATGTGTAAACAAATTAGAAATCTTCATGGTTTAACTAAACGGCTAACCAATAAAATTTGTGATTTTTGATGTGTAACTTTACATTTTTACAAAAAAGGTAATAGTAATACGATAACGATACATTTAAATATTTAAACAAAAAAACAACAGTTGATTTATTCTTTTCGCAATTTTCCAACAAATATTTATGATTAAAAAACAATTAACTTTAATAACAAAATTAATTATCCTTTTCTGGTTCGGATTTATTTACGTACGCAAAATACATTTATCATATAGTTAAACGAATATATTAATATATTTGAAGCAATGCAAACATTTTCAAATAGAATTACTTTCATAGCAACTACTATTTAGAATATTTTTGAATCAAGCTTTAATCAAACTTATTACAAAAGATATTCCTAGCAAATATTTCACGATAATGAACTGAGAAAAGATGACGATTTTTTTTACCCCCTTTTCGTATGACCTGGTTGTGTTGAAGTTACTGTAACTGTTATAGTCACTTTCGTGGTCTCTAATGTAGTAGGTGTAGGTGGAGGAGGTGTAGGTTGTGGATTAGGTTGTGGAGGAGGTGTAGGTTGTGGAATAGGTTCTGGACTAGGTGGAGGTGATGGTTTAGGTTCTGGATTAGGAGTGCCTTCATCATGATCATTAATGTTAATCGCAGCAACGGATTGACTATTAGCACGTTTTCCTGATTTGGTTTCACCATCAATTATAAGATACAAGCCGGTTGGTGGTCCTTGATCATCAAGTCGTTTTGGAAGTTTATCATCATCATAATTAATTACTTGATCTTTATAAATATCCTTATCATCACATTTTTGATATTTTAAACCTTTTTTATTACAATCCCAAGTTAATTCATCAATTTGAATAATTATTGGTTTGGTTCCCCATGGTCCAATTTCACATTTTTCAGGTTGATTATGACCATTTCTCCTATTAAAATAATTAAGATAACCATTTCTCTTGTTGAAATCTTCTTTCGAATCATTAGAAGAATAACCATTACATCCACTATCCTTAACGAATTCCATATCAATATAATCAGTAAGATTAGAAAGAATATCTCCACATCCATTTCGAATTGTCCAGTCGTAAACCCAATTTTTTGGATCTTGAAATCCGTACTGATAAATACCAGCAAGCCATATATCTCCATCAGAATCTTGGTAAAACGTTAATTGACCCTTTATATCCGATTCAGAAGTAGCCGTAAGCATGACTCGTGGACATGGTTTTTCTTCATCATCTCTTGTGAAATAATTGAGATTGTCAGTTGCATCCAAGAAGGAAACCATAAAAATGGTTATAACGACCAAAATGAACTGGTTTTTCAAATGCATTGGCAGTAGTGATTTAAACGATTATTGGTTTGTTATTTTTTATGTAAGAGGTATAAGAGATATAAGAGATATATTTTGATTATAAGTCAATTTCAGCCTCAAAAGATAACTTATATATAAGACGAAAAAATTCAGAATCGAGAAGTTATGTAATAATAACGTATCGAAGGCAAGTACACAATAACCAGACATTCTAGGCTATTACGAATGTGGACGTGAATGTGGATGAGGATGTAAATGTGGAGTAATTATGAGGTAACGACGATCGAATATATTGAATATATTGAATATATCAATGAATTACGTGTAAAGCAGGAATAATGAGGTAAGATTAAATTTAATTTAATTACGTAAAATAAAAAATACACGTCATAAGAATTATTTGAAGTAATTATTAAATTTTTTTTATACTTTTACATATATGCGACAATTAAATTAGATTTATTGTTAAAATTTGTAAACGGACTAACTAGAATTTTAGAATAATATTCTAAATAACTTTACCATGTCTACATCTTATATGTCTTAATATATCTGTTATTCGAATTTTTTTAAAATAAAATCATTCGCTTTACCCTTTAAGCTTTTTACTTCATAATAAATCAGACACTGTTTTAATCAACAACTATGGATTACAATTCACTTTATCGAACCACCGATGATATCCGATATGATGTAAATATAAGAAAAACGTACGTAAATAATATTTAATAATAACAAAAATGAAAAGGTTAAATCGTGACGCAGTAAGTACATAAAATCAATATTTCTGTTATAATTTCGAAATCATAAAAAGATAAAAACAAGACTAAGAATAAATATTATACGGTATCAATATTCGAATATTAATTGAGTTAGGGAATGGTAAATAGTTCGATTTAGTCAATTTTAATCGGTTTTAATTGTACACTTTAATCATTCCAATAACCACAAAATTGATATTCAATGATCGCGGTAAATGTAATGCTTAAATTTAGTATCTGCTTGAAGTTGTGAAATTAAACTTACTAAATAATGCATGTAAGACGATCTAATTTCAGGGGCTAATTTCATTCAGTGAAACTTTAAACGCTTTTAAGCATAAGAAGAATAAATCTTTACATAATAAGTAAAGTCATTCAAAATAATAACAATTACATATTGTTATCGTTGTACATTAAGCTGCATAAGGCTGACGTGGTAGCTTAAAACCTTCTAGAAGACCGCATCATATTATAAAAACAAAAATTTGAGTAAATCCATTGACATTTAATAAAATTTCAATTACTATTAGCATTTTAGATCTTAGACTTGAAATAAATTTTAATTTATTATAAATATTACGTAACTGCAGAACTAGGATCTTAATAAAAGTTATTTCTAAAAATTTATACGAAAAAAATTTCCCAAGATTAATTAGGAATTTTGTCTAGCAAAAAATTTCTATTTTTAAAGTTTTAAACAATATATTGTAGGTTAAAACAAACTATTAAAAGTATATTCATCGTGATTTTCTGTACCAAGTTTTTGTCCATAACGAGAAATGTTGCATATTGATGGGAATTATTCGGTTTATCAAATCATTTTGCAGGTTCAGTTATTTCCTGGTATTCAGTTGGAAATAAGGGTGGTAGTGTAACGACTTGTCATCATTGGTTACATCAAAAAATTATCCCTTGTCCCGAAAAAATGCGTACTTCATAACCTTCTGTCTACGACAATCTTTCATATGACACTCATATGTTACTGCGATCATTAAAATAAAAAGTTTTTGATTGATACAGATCATAGTACTGTAGTAGAGTGTATACTTACACATGACAATCATGAAAAATCTTTATCACGATTATCGCAATTTTCATTATTCCAGTCATTCAACAGTCATTCAATCGTGAAGTGAAAGATTTGCACATTATCACTAGAACATTTGCTTATCATGTAATCATGTAAATTAGAAATCTGTTATTTCAAGATAACGCTTGTGTCCATATTCAAAATAACGCGTAGAATCCGTTATTTATGATAGAAAAAACACCGGAAACGCTTAAAGTTTTTACTGGAATAGTTATTTCTATTGTTAATATAATTTATTACTATTAAAAAATAGATATTTTTTTTAAATCAAATACAAGTACATATCATAAATTATTAAAAGAAATAAAAGCTATCAATATAATTCCTAAAATAAATGACCATAAATAATTATAATTATTCTTTACAGCTAAAGAAGTTTTTGTACTTTTACTATCTTGTGATGATGCAACAGGACTATCAACAGCAGGCTTAGTTGGAGTACTAATAGTTGATGTTGGCATTGAACTAGTAGTGGTGGCAATATTAGTTGTAGAATTCTCTTTATAAAATAATCCGGGATGACCCAGACAATTAGCTATAGGTTTAATATTAAATTTTGCAGTTTGAAGAATAGGAACTACCAATGGACCTTGAGCTGCAGTTTGATTATATAAATCATGTTCAAGGGAAATATGTCCTGTAGTGCTATTCTGCTTTACCCATTGGGTAAAATTACTTTCAATCCATGACAATCGGAAAGATTTATCATCAGCTGAAGTCCAATCATTTGTATCTAAATCCCAAATTACAATTTTATACCCAAGTTGTGTACATATACTACGTATACGATCATCATAATCACCGAATGGTGGACGCATATATATAGGTGTAACACCAGTTACATTTTTTATAATTGCAGCAGTCCATTGTAATTCTGCAATAACTTGTTCATTGGACTGAGTAGTAAGATATGGATGTGACCATGTATGTACACCAACTTGGTGACCTTTGAAAATTTTTTAATAAATTAGATATTTATGATATATAAAAAGTTAATAAGTATGTAGACATTATACCTGAACTAACAATCCTTTTCAAAATATCTGGACTTTCGACTACTCGAGAACCAACAATGAAGAAAGTAATTTTGAGTTTTACCGAATCGAGATAATCAAGTAGCGGTATTGTATAATTACTAATGAAAATAAATTTGATTTTGTAAAATTAGTACGTATTGTACATAAGAAAATTAGCATATACAAGTTTAACCATATGTGGGAAGTCGTGTCCGGTTAGGGGTTGCAAAAATGTCAAAAATATGATTTATGGAATATGTAGATCAATATGTAATTGGACACGGCTTTAGATCCCATAAAGAGCACATGAGAGTGAAAACCCGTAACTAATCATAAGAAATTATTAAATGTATTTCCTGATTTTCACTCTCACGCAATCATATATGTCGTATCTGAAGTTACACAGATCTAATTTTCAGGGGCTTAATTCTAGTCAAGTGCTACTTTAGATATCTAAAGTGGTAACTCCAGATAATCACAACTTCAGATCACCTTCCGACATTTCCGATAGGACAAAAAACAAAGTCCAATACTGGTTCATGTTTATCGTTATGTCAAAAAGATAAAAGGTGATTTACACACCAACATGACTGATACAGGAGGGTGATTTTTGTGCGAATTATCCTGATCGATAATGTCAGGAAGGTGATTTTAAAGGCAAAGACTCATACATATACACATATATACATATATACCTATATACATATATACATATACATATACATAATAATAAATAATATGTTTGATATTTACGTTGGACCATCATCAAAGCTGAGTCCCCAATCTAAAGTTAAATTATATTTAAAGAATAAATAAATCTAATCGATATTTAATAAATTTAAGATGAAATAAAGAATTGCTTCTTACTTACCACCTACATTTGGACAAAATACGATATCAGAATCATTACGAACGCAACCATTACAAGGCCAATAACAATAAGTATCCGTAGCTGGACATTTTGGTGTATTTCCAGATACTTCAGCAGTTGTCTTCTTGGGTGCATTTGGAACCATACTCATATTTACAAGTGCGGTATATTCGGTCACATTCGGTGGCGGAACATCGAGTGCTGGCCAGCCTGTAAGCTGCTGTGCACTTATTAATTGCACTAGTAAACTAATCGTTAAAAATAAAAATCGTAAAAGTTTCATCATAATTTTAAAATCAACTTGGATTTAATAGAAACGTTTAAACCTCGTTTCATTATCCTTTATATACTTTACAGATTATTAATTCATAAGGGGTTAGCATTTTTTTGAACAATCATTGCTACGTATGTAAACGCATGTATACAAATTGTGTACGATCATATTTTTCTTTTTTTTTTGCAAATGAAGGAATAGATCGAAACTATACAAAATAGGTATAATACGATTTACATTTCTATTTATATCTTTCTGCCAAGTCTTAGAACTACTACAAATGGAATAATGTGGAATATTGCTAACGAATTTTTGGCTTGTGCATGTATAAGTACGTATGTTGTGCCTCCTTTATCTTTTATAATGTGATAGCAATAAAATTACAACCGTAATAAGTAATTACTATGATAAGGGGAATTCATATCTATCTAATATTTGTAAAAACAGAAACACGCAAAAAAAAATTTAATCACAAAATTTTAAATGATAACGATAATGCTTTGATCATTATTTATTAAGATTGAGAAACACTAACTTGATCATATATGTATAAAACTTTTATTTTAGTATGAATTGTGTTTTAAAAAAAGTTTTTTATTTATGTTACTACGTTTAAAAAATATTATGTGTTTGTTACTTAATTAGGGTAATACGTTTTAGATGCATGTTAATTAGATATATGCCATAATATAACAAGAAATTCTTGAATCCTTTATTTTAAGATTGGATAATGCATTTTTCTAAGGGGAATGTGCATTTCCAAGGGAGTGACCTATTTATAATGGATATGCATCTAAGCATTATTGTATCATATAAGGAAGGTACATTTAAGTCAAGCCAAGATATTACATTAACTTTAATTGACTAATAAATCGGACCATTTTTAATAGACTTTACGATTTTTTAGAGGTTGCTACCATTGATTCCCTTGAATGTCATTCGTATGAACTATGGAATCGCTAAGGTACATACATGCCGATATATGCCAAAATGATTTCTACGTACTTTTAATAATATAAATCATCAGGGTTTAATTTTAAACTATTACTTTAATATTAATATTACTGAATGATAATTTGTTACTTTATTCTTTGTCAAATGCGATCATGTAACGGCAAATGTGCTTCATCTTCGGAAAGCGTTTAACCGCACGCCTTGTACCTTTTAGGCTGAATTAAATTTTATTTGTGTAACGCCAAGAGATCTTAATTGTATAATGCCGTAATGCCAAGAAATGTACAAAATTTATAAATGCCAAGAGAACTTTCTGCAATCATTTTAGATGATAAAGCCTATGATTATACTATTTTATTCGATAATTTTAATTTTTCACCTTACAAAATTTAATGTTCAGATCAAAAGTTGACAATTTACGTTATCTATTTAATGGAACCAATAAAACTAACGAAAAAATTTATTGGTTAACTATATATTTAGAAAAATCTCAAACTTTATTAATACCTTGGCAACTATACGTATACGTAATACGTACGTATCTATTTTAATTTATGAATTCATATAAAATCAAAATTTTTTACTATATAATTTTGAATAGTTAGTTATTAATCCAAAATTTGAAACAGCTTTATGTTTACTACGTAATTGTTTACAAAAAAAAGCTACGTACGTATTAAATTTATTTACTAATTTATTTCGAACAGGTATTTATTGAGATTTTCTAAAAAAAAATTGAAAACATTTGAACCAAATTTTATTTTTAATTTAAAAATAAATTTATTTTGAATTAATAACATTAAAAATAAAAATATAAACTAGTAATCAAAATATATCAAATAAAACAAAATCTTTTATGAACTGAAACAATTAAAAAGTAAACCATATATGTTGTGCCCCGGATGATAATTGTCCCGATTCAGATTCGGGACTGTCCTGAATGAAAACTTTGTAATTTTGGCACAAATTGTACTAACTAAATTTGGAAACTTTTTATTCTAAACCTTCCACCAAAATAAACCAGAAGCGGGATAACCCAAATTTAGAATTCAACTCATGCAGGAAGTTCTGGGTCAGAATGCATCGGAATCCTGATCGGCTGGGCCAATTTGATCAGAAATTATATCCGTTGATTAAGTAAAAATGCTCAGCTAATAATTTTTCTATAGACTATGCTGAGGATAGGAACAAGCCAGCTTGAGCCAGCTTAGAGCCGAATCAAACTACCTAGTATTGTTGACAAAACAATAATAAAATTTTCATACGTAGTTATTTAGTGATTTAGTATAAACATAATACAATCCGGAAAATTTAAAACAAATATTGATATTAAAAAAATCACCAAATACTTAATAATTTGCATAAGAACCACTTTTTGTTTTCTAATAAAAAATTTCTTTAGAAAATTTTACTATTATAATCACTAATTTTTAACACCAATATAAATGATAATCCTAACATAAATGAACTTTGAGACATTTGTTGCTCTTACATGACTGTGAAATTTTTGTTGGTGATACTGGGAAAGAACATCATCCCAAAAAAATTGTAACCAGATTTTTTGCAAGCTCACATGTGACTTCAAAAAATGATTGTCAATAATGTTGTTTATCATGTTTAATAATATAATGATTGACTTTCATTTTGACCTTTAACTATTTTAGCCTATAGCAAAGACCGTTAATGTTACACATATATTAAAACTGGTGAGAGATTATATCCGTCACAATTGAATACAATATAAATAATTTAATTTGTGATTGATCATAGGCGAGTCGGATTCACTTTGAATCGGGCACTGTCTCTGTTGTAATTTTAGAGATGTTAATTGATTCATTACAATGGTGTTATTTAGATTACACAATAATAAGCGATTTGAAAAATAATAAGTTTAAATTGTTTTTTCTTGGTGTCAATCATATGTAGAGGTGAGCGCAATGCCATAATTGGTTGTAATTATAATGAATTATATCTTGTAATTCATTATAATTACAACTAATTACAGCATTGTGCTTACATGCTCTAATTAATAAATTTAATGATGACACTCATACCGATGACCATCTACCCATGTGATTCTCGTGATTTAGAAGTGCACCGAAAGATCTTTAAGGATAAGTCAATAATATTGAAGATCATATATGAATACCTTTATTTTTCATCATGGTATCTTGTTTTATTTTAAGTTTCACTTTATTTTCACTTTATTTTCACTTTATTTTCATGCTGAATTCAATAAATTAGCATAGATAGACAACTACTAATTTATCAATAACACAGCCACAGTAATAACCATCATACTTGACTTCCTCAGCGTAACCATCAAAAAAACCTGAACATGTCATTAACGAAATTGATAGGGTACGGGTTTGACCCGAAATTTCATGGGTCGGGTCGGGTTTAGATCCGGGTCGGGTTCAAATTATAGACCAGTTATAAATCCGGTCGGGTTCGGGCTCTGTTTATGACCTGTAAAACCCGATCATACCAGATATAATTTTTAAAAAATTCTTACGCTTTCATTCAACTGTGCAACGTTGTCACGCAAAACCAGAAACGGAATACGTGAGGAGTATCGGTATTGCATTTAGTAAATATAGGCTTGGAACTTATCACTATCTCAAATTTTTGATTATGAAATTGATTATTGCACAATGTTGCATATAAATTAATTATAAATGCTACGTGTATTATGTATGCTATACACAATATCAGATGCCAATTTGTCACGCTTTAATAATAGGTATCTTTGAATTATTGAAATTAATTCCAAGAATAGTTGAAACTTGATATATGAAAATTTTATTTTTAAACAGAGTAAACAGGTATAACTGTTATGCATCATTTCTTAATTAACGTTGATTATTAATTGATACTTGTCATTTTTCAATTTCCACTGACTGATAAATGACTCAAAACTATTGTGAGCTCTAAATTCAGTTCTACTGTTATCACGGTCACACATAATTGATCATTGGATTAAGGTTCCATCTTCTACCTGAGTGATTAGTTACATGAAAAGTAAAAGAAATTAACCTCAAATGTAAATAATATTTTTATTATAAACTAGATAAATGCATAGCACTGTATGTTCAGACCAAGTATTAAATTAATTTAATTAATTGTTAATCACTGTAAAGTGATTGGTCACATATCACATAATGTGGTTGGACATCCTGACAATTTTTTCACTTTACATAGACATATATTGTCCTTCACTATGCTCTGGACAAATAAAAGGTTTCTTGCTTAGAAGGAACAAAACAAACAGTACTCTCAAGTAAATACATTTGTATACATAAAACTATATTACTGACCTATAACAAAAATAAAATTATAATTTAATTCAAACTAATAAACTATTATTAATCTTATTGTTATTATTATTGTTTCTCTATAAATTATTAAATCACAAATTAATCATTCATTATAAGTTATATGATCAGATTATTAACATTATTGAAGAGTTTCAAGTTTAATTCAACATAAAGTAATATCAGATTAAAGTATATAACAAAAGATTAGAGAAGACAAGAATTAATAGTATAATAATACAAACTCTCCCTAATGATTATTTAAACTTTTTAAAAAGCTGAATTACAGAAAAATGATATAGTTAATATATTAAACTTTATAAAAAATTTTTTAGAGTACTGTACATATATAGTTGAACATTGAAATAGAGTTGAAAAAGAAGTTGCAACTTTGTAGTAATGGTTTAAATACACTCTATAATTATTAAAGAAATAGTTAATAAAAGTCAAAGTTTTTTATCAAATATATAACAAAATTGGATATATTAGTTTTATATAACTATAAAATCTACAAAGAATATTTATAAGGTCAAGAACTTACAAAAACTATAAAGTTAATTTACCTCTTGTTTTTATTTTGTTTTAAAAAAAATTTTATAAAAATTATATAATTTAACTTACCTTTCCTAAAGATCAATATATAAAACTATTAAAACAATCAGTAATATTTATTTTTTAAATATGTTTATTAACAATATAAATCAGAAATAATACAATAATATAAACATAACTATATACATTTCT